AAACGTATATTGTCTTCCACACAAACGAAATATAACATCAATACACTTGAAATCAGTAGCAAACAATGATTTTTTTGGTCTAAACATAAAGAGATTTGCGCGCGCGTCGCGGCCATGGGCGGACTGGCGTTAAGCACGAGTCTAGAAGTTTCGACGACGATCGTTGGCGAAGAGCGCCGACAGAGCGCGCGAGCCCCGCGTGTTTTTAAAATGAACGCCCGCCAAACTTGAGTGCGAGCATTAACCCTATCGCCGCGTTATACTATTGATTTAACAATTGTCTAATGATTGCCCATTTCGTTTCTTTTTATTTTGGAATTCACTTAAATAGGCGTAGAATATACACGAACGTATCAAAAAGGAGATTTTAAACGAACCTACAACTTATTTTATGCGACCATTGCAGTTAAACAAAACTTTGTCGTAAAAGGGTTAAGTTACAGCCGTCATATTCAAGAACTGTGTACCTACCTTTGAGAAGTCAAAATTTTAATTTTATGTTGGAGAAGAAGCTTTCTTATCATTCCATAGAATACGTTCCTAGCCGTAACCAAAGCAAGTTCAGTTAATGAACACTTGAGTGTTGTGTTGATTAATGTTAATCTCATTAAATATTCATTGCCTAATTATGTAATGACACGTTGTAATAATATAGTGGAGTTACCTATCTAGATGATTACGTGGTTTATTATTTATTAGTGTTAGTGTGTGTGAAAAACCCTATTTGGAAAATCATAGGAATATAGTTCGTTCACTACTATGTGTTTTTCATGTTTAACGTTATGATATTGGCAGTAATAACGTAAATAGCGAGTAAGGGATATTATTGTGATTGTATGTCGAAACGAACATATCATTTAAAGTGATTAAATTATATGAATACTATCTAATTGGTTGTGAGTCATTGTTGTCCCTTGGCTAACATTATAAACCACACTTATTTATTTAATACACATTTAATTACAATTCCACAATGTCTACCTACAATCACTGTTTAAGCAAAGGCAGGTGGTGAAAAAAAGCCAAATTCAAGCTAAAGTAATTTAATAAGAATCACTAAATACATCGAGTCCTAATTAAAAAGTTCACATCATTCATTATGGTTTTCCACTGTTATTAATAGAGGGGTAGGTAAGTATATCAATGGGATGGGGAGATAGGGATAACTACGTACCTACTTAATATTGACACGAGCTAGGGACATAAATGTTAAGAGAACTATTTATTTTTTAACGGTACAATAGTGAACTTAGGCTTACAAAGAATAAAGGATGCTCTTAAATCGAATTATTTTGAATAGGGTGAAAACAAAAAGTCAATACGATACAGTTATTAGATTTTTCCGGCAGTTGAGTAGGTACCTATATAGGTACTCATACGGGTATTATTTGGCCTAAGAAGAAATATAATCCACTGCACGGCCTGCATCTGTCGTCACTGCTCCTGAGGTTCTGCAAACATTGTTTTATTAAGTATTAAACAATTATAAAGATATAAAACATAATACGTCACTGGACAACGGACCTAAGGCGTGCCGGTGTGGGGTTCAACCCTCGCTTGCAATTAAGTCCGCGGTAGGGAGATGTAATGTACTCCACGATCAAATAAACGCACTACTTATTTAGCTATGTACTTACACAAAAAGTAAGTTCAGTTGTAGGTCATACTCAAGTGCTCTAAATAAAATTGCTGCAAATACTCGTAAAACTGAAAATTCACAAGTGGCCCAATCACGGGCGATTTTTTAAGCTAAAAATCCAAACACATACTTAGTTTGTGATTAGGATAAAATAATTTATTAGATTTTCGATATAAATTCCAAAGCAAACGGCGTAATAATTTAGGAGGAATAGTACAATTCCTTCACATTAAAATCAGCTCTAGGTACCGCATTTAGCTTTACTTAGGTTCAGTGTGATTCAACTGACATAGAAAAAATTTACTTGTTTACTTGATTCGATTTCTATATTCACAGTATCATTACGAGTCACATTATTCACAGCTTTAGAAGATACTGTCTCAAAAGGTTCTGCGTATGTATTTCGAGTGCTTCAAATGGTTGATTTACCATAGTAGAGATGAAAATAGACGACGTTTATTGATTTGTACAAGAAACGGAAAAAAACACCCGCCTGCGCATAAAGCGAATTATTTTAAGGTTGTGGCGCAATAACGCGATTTGGACTTTAGTGACTCTACATAACTTTATAATGATAAAAAATCATTCCATAAATTATACTTTCATGGGATTCTGTAAAGAATTCTTAAAACTCGCAGCATTGTTGGTGCTTGGTCGGGTGAAAAAAGATCATGTAATAATTGGGGTACCTACTTGGGGAACATGAAAAAAATCTAACTTGTCTAAAATAATCCTACCTACTTATCATGTTGTCTATTTTACAATATAATTAGCCAAAAAATGACGACGTCGACGACTAAGTAATGAATCAGTGAGGCCGTTGGTCAGACTGAATTAATCCTAATTACCTACAGCGTCTCGTGAATCATAGAACTTTGGCTGAGACACCGTTAGAAAAAGTATTTTACCTATGTAAAAGCAATATAAAATATTTACATCGAGGTATTTTGCTAGCTGATCGTCACCCATGACCTGAGCTGCTGAAGAATCTTCTTGAAGGACGTAGCAACTGGCCGTAGCGCTGAAGAGGTGAGAGCCTGGCCGTAGGCTGCAAGTGCAGGCTGCAGGCAGACCCCTACGGGTCTGCCTGCAGCCTGCACTTGCGCGAATTTTTAAAAATCAATATGTCTGGGATGTGTAGATAGTGCAGCGACGGTGCCGCCACCAACGTGCGATATCAAAACAATTAGTTTTTTTTAAATCACAGCATCAAGTAGTAATGGACAGACGCATAATATAAAATTCTACTATTCTTTGTTTTTTTCAATTTTTTGAATTTGTGAATCGTATCGTATTGAAAATCGAATTGGTTTCATTAAAAATGCTGTCATTTCTTTTAAAATTTAACTAGGTTATGTAATATTATTTGACTCAAGTCTTTGAGGTACCTCAAAGACTTGAGTCAAATAATATTCGTAAAAATCTACGTTGTACCAGTTGTACTAAGTACATACTTAGTACAACTGGTACAACGTAGATTTTTGGTGCGTTGTTAAAATCGGTGTCCAACTCTTTTTAATACGAGTATTTTTGCTATTTCATATAAGTACCTACTTAGTTTTATGATTTAACGAACAAAGTAGCACGCATAATGTGATAATTTTATCTTTCTGGGTAAAATGAATCTTCTTGGGCCAGTGAATTGAATTGAAGTGAAAAATGATAAACAATTTGAGTTAAGGATAAAACGAACTAAAAGTTTGTTTTTGTTGTTTATCCAATAAGTAAAATGTATGTTTAGGTTTAGGCCTAAGTATTAGACTGCTAAAAAAGCTTAGCTACAAAAGTAAAGAAATTACGGATTAGGCTTTAATTAAATAAACATAAATATTTTTCTTCATAAAAATCGTCTTAGTATCAACCTAAAATATTATCTTTTATACCATTTGCTAGTGATGCAATGCCAGGATCAGCATAAATTAAAAAAAGTGTACCTACTTAACGGGCCACGAGGTCTTGTTGCTCGAAGATTTGTTGCACGATGTGCGTTTCGTTTATGTTCATTCACTCACTGTGTGCATTTACTTGCAACGAAATAAGTAGGTCCCTGATTTTCGAATCATTTAGTATTCTGAAACGTAGGTAGGTATCTCGATGAAATATAATTTTGTGTTTATTGGGTTGTTAAATAATGTTTAAACAAAACGTCTCCGTGATTTCAGCTCGTAGACGGATGATGCACTCATGATCTATGGGGAAGCGCGGGGTAACTGCGTAGCAAATATTTAGAAATTTCACTCTTTGCACAGATTTTCAGCGTTGTTTCAGGGTTTAAAGCATAATACAGGGTTACTGGTTGCATTCTCATTTGCAACATGATGAGATTTTACGTCATTTTGGGCTAACGTAAACTTCTTCTGTATTAATTTCAACTTTCGTGTTTTTTTTTTATTTTTTCTTTTTACTGGTAGGTACCTATCTTTTTTTACATTTCAATTGTCGTTTATTAGGTTTCTTTAAATTGTTATAATTGTATGCGGAAATTTTACATTTGAGTTCAAAATGACCAATATTTCAAATCGCCCGCCAAAATAACTCGGTGAAAATGGGAAAACGTGCCACGTCATGCTAAAGGAGCTCCTTGTTAGTTGAAGTTCCTTAAATTGAAATAGCCCTTTGTAGGTAATTCCATGCTGCTGAATACTTAATGAGCCTATTGTTAGGGCTGATTAATTTAGGTTAAATTTGAAGTCATTAGGCAAATAGTCATTTTTTTCCTTGACCTCATTCTACGTGATATTAATGCCAACGTGGATTCTAAACAGTGTTTATTCACCATGGAATAATAATTTAACTTTTTAGACTTTTCTTCTAACATACAATCAAGAACAGCAAGTCTAGGAGCAAGTCTAATAAAATCAATACACCTGAGTAGGTGTATCTAAAAATAGAAGTGGATGGATGAGACATGTTGGAAAATTAATTTCGTAATTTATCAGCTATTTAAGTGTAAAATATTGATCTTAATTGAATCCTACCATCTTTCATTTTAATTTTCAAAAGAAAATGGACACAATTTTCAAACAGAAAATTGTGTTGGAAATTGGAACGCATTTTAACTACGAATGTGTGTCATTCGTAAGCACATTGGAAAATGGAAACTGACAGCTTGTTATGTCATGTAGGGATGAATATACGCTCATGATTATTGATTTTGTAGTGGGTCAAGCCTTTTAGCTCTTTATATTTTGCCTGTTTGATGAAAACAGAAAAGAAAAAGACCGATTAGATTACATAATATAATTTAATATTCTAACCACAACGGAGAGAGACTTTTATTTAATAGTTAACACTATCTTAGTATGAAACAAAATTACACATAGACTGGACTGTAAAATAATTTTCTATTGTAAATTTGCTCGTTGGTAAAACATTTTTGGTTTATTTGTGATTATAGCAAGTTGTCATGACACGAGCGAAGAGTAATATAATGCTTCAGTGAATTACTTTGTCTTCTGTTTCTTCTTGGGGGTGACGGGGACAGCCGCGGGCCGCGAGTACATGCTGTAGAATATGCCGGTCGCCGCGATCACGATGGTGGATATGACGACGATGTATTCCATGCGGTTCCTGTGAAATTGTGAATATGTTGGAATATAATAGTACCAGGAGAAAGTCTAGAGAACTCGCCTGACAATTCAATTTTGTTACAATAAAAAAACAGCAAGTCACGGTCAAATAATGTGAAGAAAATATTTTCTTCAATAAGATGTGAAAATTATCAATTTATTAGAGGTGTCAAGAAATGTTTTGACTCCATTTTGGTCCTCAGCGTAGATACTCACGCGAAGGGTGTTCCGCAGATGGTGTACCAGCGGGCGCCGTCCTTGGGCCTCTTGTGCCCCACGCAGCTGAAGCCGAAGTACCCCTCGTCGTAGTTGTCGGGGCAGAAGTACTGTCGCTTCTCCAGAGTCTGATGAAATTGAAAATCATAATTTCAAGTTTTCTTCCAGCAATATACCTTATGATTTTTTCCAATTTATTTCGACGATGAAGTCATCATCACAGAGAAAAAAAAGAAGTAACAAAATTAAATATGGCCATCATTACTTACCTGTCCGAATGGTGTTACGAGCGATGTAACTTGGTCGCATGGTCCCACAGGCTCGTGGAATCCTGTTGAGATTTCTTTTTCGGGCCAGAAGAAAGTCACCATCAGCAAGTATACGAAGTAATGCGAAATAAGTTGCATTATCAAAAGATAATCGATCCCGGACAGTCTGTAAAAAATCGTGTTTTAAAAAAAACACAAATCGGTAAAATAAAATAATGAAATTGGAGAAAATTTTAATACTCTTCTTTAGGATCATATATCCACTTTTCGAAGCTCCTGGACAGCATGTTTGAGATCTGCAGGGGTGTGGAGAATCTGAGGTGACGAGGTGAACGGTGTCCGCAGCCACCGACTGTACCAAAGCAAGGCTAGAGCGCACCTGCGCGAACTTGTAAAATCTATAATGTGACTGACAGCAGCGTGCGATAGCACTGCCGCGCCGTGAACAAATGTACTGTCGCGTTCAGATTCGCTCCTATCGATGTAAACAAACTTTTTAATTTGGCCATCACATTCATCTCTCCCGGCGACCGACAAAGGGCAAATCTGACAAGTCGTAATACAAACTAACGTGGAGTAGGCTTGGTATGTTTGGTGTTTATTTAAATCAAATGTGATTATGCTTAAATACTTTTAGTTATATTCAATGACAATGTATGAAATGAATCTTTAGTCCGATGCCAAAAATGATGAAAACTTGATTAGGTACCAACATCCATTTAGAATTTCAGGACATCAGTTTTTCATTATTGGTCGCACTATGAATCTGCGCCAATGACTGAAATACATTTAGGTATGAGAACTTAGAAGGTGAAGCTTATTTTGATTTTGACTGTACCTGTAAAATGTACACTCGGAAAGAAAATAAAACTTTCACAGATAAACTTATTTTACGAAAGTTAATGAAATTTAAAAAAACCTACCATGGTCTATCATGAGTTTCGTAATGAGGACAACATTTTCAGTTTTTGAGAATAACATGCAATTAAAATGATATTGAAATTCAAATCTCCAAAATGACCGGCTTGACATTACCTCTCCTTAACCTTCTCCCTGTCACTCGCGAGGCCGTTGATGATGAAGACAGCATAGATGGAGAAGAGCACGAACACCGTGACCTCCGTGTGAATCTTGAGGTGGTCGTGCAGCGGGTGGTAGATCGGCACGAACATGAGCACGCCGCCCGGCATGCCCAGGATTGTCGCGATCAGCAACGATTTCCATTCTGTCTTTGCTCTGAAAATGGCAAGAGAGAAAAACACGTTTACAATAACTCCTTTGATTCCTTCCTTCTTTTCCTTCTGAAGGCCTTCTTTTCCCTTTATTTTCAGCTGCTAAAGGTTCCTAGTTACCTAGGTAGTATTACTATTTCTCTTGTGCTCCTTAGCCCAAAGCGAATGCTTATCCAGCCCTGGTGTAGTAGTAATAAGTAAAAAGTAAAGCAAAGTCGTGCGAAGTTGTGTCTCGCGATCTAGACTTCAAGACGTTCAACGAAGTCCAACGTCACGGCACGATGTCATTAGCGGCAGATGTTGTGGGAGAAATATCAACAAAGTTTCAGGATTAAGGATGAGTTTTTTAAATGTAGAGGTCACATACCCAGCCGACTTCCACTTTTCGACCTTCGGGGCCAACCACCTCCTGGAGGCATCGAACAAGAAGTAGAAACTCGTTGTGAAAGTGGCGTGGAAGTAGTACGAGGTCCAGGGCACCCAGTAGTGGCGGTCGAAGATGTTGGGGTCGGTGTCGTGCCAGGTCCAGTGGACGAACTTCACGGCCGTGATGTCGTAGGGTATGTCGATGAGGACGGTGACCAGCCCCACGGCGAAAGGCTCAGCGTAACGAGGAAGGTTCAATCGCGACACTGAGTACGCCGCATTGTACATGAAAGCTGGGTCTGAAATGAAAAAATAGCAAGTAACGTCGTGAAAACAGTAGCTTTTCATTTATAGAGTAATAATTCTCCCAAAAGTCGCTGAAATAGCCGGACGGATTAACAAGTTGAAGTGGTAAAGGTACGCAGTATTAACGCTCGATAGAGCAGCAAGGATCTGGAGTGAAGGGCCGTACCAGAAAGCCCAGCATAGGACGTCCACCCATAAAGTAGATTGACCTCATAATGGCAGCAGGAAGGCGCTGGATGCAGGCCGCAACCCGCTTAATATGGAAATCATCAATCACGACATCTTATGGCTTAAATGATGAATGCTCGTAAAACGTTCTTAAATCCGTTGGCCCATTTGCCTCCTGTCCCGTAAAAACAGAGTAAAATATACTAATACATCATTTTAGCACACATCACAAGATAAACGGGAAACCAAAGGAAACGAGGATTGTCGCGCGCCACTCTCCCCAACGCTAATTGCAATAATAATGGGACTTCACTCAGCATTAGCGCGTTAACAATAGGAAGGGTGGGGTTTAGAAGATGAGATTCGCGAACACAAATGAAAATAATATTAGACTGTGTGGCGTAACAGTCGAAAATGGTAATTGGGAGAAATGACATAACGGTAATTAATTAATTAGTTTAAAATAAGTGTAGTTAATTATCGAGGTAAGATACTTTGTGGATACTTACACAAGAATACAATGTGAAGCGGCAATCTCCCACCAAGTAACATGACAGGGGTCTGTGAGTGCCAGAAGTTGTCGTACTCTGGCAAAAGGATGTGCCAGAAGTTGTCGGCGTAGAGACCATGCAGCACTGTGCCGAGCCAGAAATATGGCCATCTGCCACCTTTCTTGAAAGCTGTTGGAAAAAACCTTGCGCTATCAAAAAATAAAATATTTAAAACGCTAACACTTGATATGGGTAAGTAAGTATAGGCTACTTGTGTTTCTGCAAAAACAATAAACAATTGAGAGTTAAAATCTCTCAATTTTCTCATTACTCAATGTTGCCCATACTACGAAAATGAAAACTATGGAGTCAGTAGCTACGAATTCACCATGTCGTAGAACGTAGCAGGGATTCCTGTAGCCGTAGGTACTTCGTAGCAGGCGTAGACAGGACGGCGAAGACCTCGACACCTAATCCGTTTGGTTTGGATTATTATAGAATCACGGGTCTCAACGCAACATATTATTTAGGTAAATTGTAGCATGAGTTTTACAAGCACACCACTTCTAATAATATCGTATTGAGACTTGTGATACTTTATTTTAAAACTAGATGAAAACCCNAATATATTAAACACAATTATTTATAATAAGAACCAGCCGAGCTCAAGTGGAACTTGCGCATGAAGGAGTCTATTCCGTTATCAGAAAAAACGGTGCAAAAATCGTCGTGTCTGTTTCTGTAATACCTATGTTGATAACAACTCAACACAGGCTATGCATGTGGTCATTTATTATTATTTGTCGGGTTAAATAAAAAAAAATATTAAGCCGCTTATCGAGTATAATGTTGTCGCATTCCACACATCGACTGCACATTTGCATTTGTTTGCAGTTTCTTACAAATAATTAGGGATATTCCGATACTAATAAATACGAGTAGGTACTCGATACTTTTGATTCGATACCAAGTATTTATTGTATCGAATCAATTTTGCGATACATAATCGGTATCGAAACAAAAATACTTGGTATCGAATCGAATCAGCAAAACAACCGAAAACAGAATGAACATCATACAGAACTGAGAGAGCAAAAACAGTCAGCTAATTAGCTTTAATCGGTTACCGAGTTACCGGTATTCGTCGCGTGGCGGCGTGAGTGACGCGTTGTCTCACGCTGGGCCAGACGAATTCGTCCGACTTCAGCCGAGCCCGAGCCGAAAGCTGATTAAGATGAAAGAGATGTTTTCTTCTCAATTTTGTTTAAATTATTGTCCTTCAACGTTCATTGATAGCACCCTCAAAATAATAAAACAAAATAAAAGTTCCAAAAAGTATCGATATCAGTAAGTATCGATACTTTAGGAGTACTTATTTAAGTAGTATCGAAAAAAGATTTGAGTATTATCGAAATGAGTAGGTATCGATACTTAGGTGGTATCGGAACATCCCTACAAATAATTTGCCATTACAAAAATTGCATGTCACTGGAATTTATATCACTGTGCGAAACTAAATGACACTGACATTTGAACTTCAAATTTATGGTTATGGCTAATATTCTTTTTCTGTGGTTGAATCGGCCAATATCAGGTTTAAAGGAAAAACACATAACAAAGAGTATATCATAAAAATCGCGAAACGCACTGATCTCCATTTACTTATTTATGGATCGATGACAACCCAGCAAAAAGATTTTGGCGCTGATCGCATAGTGAGTGGATGGTGAACTACTAAAGATGGCGACAGCGGTTTGTTTGAATTGTTTGTCAGTGCCATCGGAATATAACGAAATTCTCCATTATCCGAATTTTGCGGATATATGTTGTCGACTCAAAATCGATATTTTTTTATGCTTTGTTATTCATATAAGGTTTCGATCCAGTCTACCGTACCCCTTGACGAAATTATTAATATAGATGGGACGCAAATGCTTTTAAATCTTACACTATTGACTCTTCCATCGATGGTGAGAACATCAGGCCTCCCCAAGGCTGCCTAACGTGTAGTGCAGTCTTTCCCAAAGTGGGCGATAACGCCCTCTTGTGGGCGCTGCAGGCTTAAAGGGGGGCGGTAAAAGACCCAGAAAAAAAATCGGGAAGTTGTGTAGAGGCTTGGGAGGCGTCCTCTACTAGGAGGACTCTTAGACATCGACTGAGCTCGACTCTTGACTACAAAAATGGGGTGCGCTAAAAATAATTTATTCTCAAACTGGGCAGTAGACTAAATAAGTTTGGGAACCACTGGTGTAGTGTGTAGGTCGAAACCTCCACTCGTCTCAGAGAGAGCGTCTTCAGTGGAGACTAGTCAAATGACCAGATGATGAACATACCGTGCACCAGGGTGATGAATCCAGCCAGCATGAACACCGTCTGTGAGATCAGGTAGGTGGGCTGCGCGGCCCACAGCTGTCTCACATCGTTGAAGCGGACGAACCACTGCCACCACTGTGCATGAAGAATGATTCATGGGTATTTCTCATCGCCACAGTTCTCATCGTCACCTTCGTGGCAAATTTTATTTCTAACTTATTTCAACTTTTTGTAAACAAAAATTGTAGCGCTTGATGTGAAGAGTGTATTCTCAGTAAATCAGTCAAATAGTGAGTCTCGTTTGGAAGATTTAACGTTTTGAATTTTTTGATGCCACGAAAGTGATTCTGTACTTCACAGCAATATTTTTTTCAAACTTTACTACTGTAAATGACTCTTAAGTGTTTATAAAACATATATTTTGTCTAATTTTCATAGATAAATAGCAATAACATAATATAAATAAGTACCTAGTTACTTAAATACAAGATAAAATTTTACCGATAACGTCACCTACTAAATTACAAGATTCTATGCAATTGGTTTTAAGGGAGATACTGGTGGCATTCTGAAATGCTAAAGAAGCAAAAAAAGGATTATCAGTACCTCAATAAAAAGAACTCTAACTGATTATTAGTCTCTCAACAAAAATATATTTTTTATTGAGGCCAGAGGGCCCCGTATTTTTATTGTACAACTTTTAACTCAAAATTCAGATTAAATTTATCTTACAAACAGATACACAGTCACATATACAGACATACATACAGTCATACAGATGATACAGACAGACAGACAACAAAAATACGAGGCCCTTTTTTTATTGATGTACTGAACTCTACTTACCACGTATAAATGTATTAGTTATTAAAATATTGTAAAAACATAAACACCAGTCACTATATTTTAAAATAAACCAAAGCAAGAAATCACTTTCGTGGCCTAAAATCACCTTCGTGTATAAAACACCACGAAGGTGATGCCACGAAGGTGACGAAAATTTTAGTTTTTTACATTGAGTTATAATGTACTACGTACTAGAGAAGACATGNTTTTAACGTTAACAATCCAGACACGCTTCTCGATTCTGCGATACGATTGGTCGTTCAACAGCGTACGTCAGCTGTTTTGACCAATCGTATCGCAGAATCGAGAAGCGTGTCTGGATTGTTGACGTTAAAAGTTACCGTAATCGGGGCTCAGGCTGTCAATTAGTAGGCTCAAAAATTTGACAGAGAGGGTTCTCTATTTCCTATGTATTACTTTTCTCTATGGCGACTGACGTTAACCGAATAGAACGCTGTGATTGGTTGCTGGTGTTTGGTTTAACGGCAATCAGTGGGTCTAGACAAAGTGCAAATTATAATCGAAAAGTGGTCGAAAAGCCCCTTTTTTGTATGGAGTTTTGACGGATTCGATTTTCGATTCGATCAAAAAGTGCGTTTTGTCTAGGGGGGCTTGTATTATTACTCAAAATTTTAGGTACCTAAAATCGTGTGACCAACGTATTTCGCTTTCTCAATAAGATATTTTTTTGACTGTTGGGTGGAAAGTATATTTAATTACGATGTAAATTTAGTATAATAATATGTTACACACAAATTGAATGAAAATTGTGAATGCAGTAACCAAATGTTTCATTGCAACCGAAGGTGTGACACGATGAGAACGCGAAAAATGACCCCATTTTTTATCGTTTCATGTGATGTTTTCGCGTTATTTTTGCTTCTATTACGATAAAATTTATTTTGTATGTAGCTAAATAGATATTTTATCATCTGATTTCAAAGTTATTGTTCTAACTTATACCGTTTATGAACTATTATTGTGTGACCATCAAAGTGTGTAAATGAGAAGTACCCTCGAATTTTAAATTTTTAGCATTCGAATTGTTTCCTAATGAAAGGATAACGGCGGTGACGATGGAATTTATGACTTGAATTGATTTGAATTTCGCATTTGATTTAAAGGTAAATAGGTAATGTTGACCTAAAATGGCTAAACTAGTTAATTTAAATGCGAAGTAAATATTTATTATTATTTGTTTAGCGTTAAGAGTCACAACTCAAACTACGAGTAAATTACCTGAATAATTTCAAAGATTCCAATTGTGGTAGACCGCGATTTACTTAGCGGGGCTGATTCCTCTTGATTCATAATATTAACACTAACTATCTAGTTGTTCTGCGTTTTAACATGGCACAAAATAATACACAGAATCAATAGACTTAGCAACAGAACGATATTTTTATAAATCACAAGAATACCAAGTCCAACAATCATTAATTCGCTTAAGCAGATTAAAATAGAATCAATTCGCTGTAGATAAACAGCAAAATGTTTCTTCATTTAATTTTAAAGTTTAAAAGATAAGATAACTAACCGTTATCGAGTCTGTCGCCATGACGAGTGTTGCGCGCGCGCCCGCCGCTTTGCAAATGGGTTGCAATTGGCCGAGTCCCGCTTGCTGGCTCCACCAACGTAGTGATGTTTCGGTAATGGTATTGATATCGACATTATTGTTTGTTACCAAGCATTGATTTTATAAGTAGAATATTGAATTGCTGTAAGTATTGTGTTTTTAAAACATAGTTTTGGGACTTTTTAAGATTTAGAAAATTTCGTCTTGGCAAACATTTTAAATGAAAATGTTTTTGTCATATTTAAGTACTACATAAACCACTGTTATGTGAAAGTAGTCAGATGGAATAGCCTTAGATAAGACTGGTGCCCTGCTTTTTAAATTTAATGTCAAAGAAGTGACCCCTATGAAAACAAAATTCCTGTTATGTGTTGTCACTTAAAAATTAGGGATTGATGGTGAAAACGGGCTTACTAAGAGTAGGCGCACACGGTTGATTTTTAGTTGGTCGATAGTTGTGCCCGATTTTAATTTGTATGAAGAATCGGCCAAGTCGAATCGGCGTAGTGTGCGCACTCCCATAGTTACATGCCCATACTCTTCAACTGCCCGACTAAACTATCGGCCGACGAAAATCGACGGTGTGCGCCTACTCTAAGTATTTGAAATATTTCGAATTTGAATTGACATTGTCAGGTAAATGTTTTCCCCAAAAAGCCTACTATCGATAAATGTACACGTAGCAATTAATAGGTCAGCACTACCTACTTCAGTGTAATTTGTCATTTATTTACGTCTGAAGGACGCAACAAGGACTAAAAATAAGTGGAGTAGAAGTTCCCCAGGAATCTTACCCAAACTGTCATCGCTCTGGGTTTTCGAAAAAAAAGTCAAGGTTAAATTGATTTTCATCAGAGGGATATATAGAAATCACCTACCTACTGACCTACTTAATAATAATATGATTGTTTACTTTTTAAGTTATAAAATAGTAGGTATGAAAAGGCCACCAAATTAAAATGTTACAAAATTATTTTAAAAATAAGAATAAAAATTGGCCAAGTGCATGTCGTGGCACGCGCAGTGTAGGGTTCCGTAGTTATCCGTCGATAACACAATATTTCTAACTAAAGTAACTTTTAATATTTTCTTCTAAGGAATTTTTATTAGTTAAGAAATTTTATAATGCATGAGTTAAATCACTATTAACTATCTTAACCGTTATAGTTTTCCTTGAAAGTTCATAAAAAGAAAGAAAGAAAAAAGCACTATTATTATGAATTTTCCGAGATTTTTCAAGCCAACAGTTTAGTTTTTAGAGGGGGGGGAGACATCTCTCTAGTGCCAATAGTTTCCAAGCAAAACCTCGGACAGACAGACAGACAAACAGACATATCGAGACTATAAGGGTTCCTTGTCAGGACTACGACACCCTAAAAAGAAAATTTTGCTGGAAACTATACTTTTTTGTATATTAATTACTTACTTATCTTTACTTAAAAATTATGATTTTTTTTATCTAACCATCCTCAAATTAAAAGTGATAATTATAATTACACACTCTTAATGAGTAAAGAGGTATTATTTTTACATATCAAGGTGTAGATAAGTTTGATAAGATAATAAAACAGTAAAATTGTATTAATTAGGTAGGTACCATTTTTTGTTAGTTAAAAGGAGGTTTTTAACTTGGTTTATTTTACACCTTCCTTAAATCTCTAAAATTAATCTGGAAGAAGAGGAATTAAATATTTCAGTTGAGGCTGCGTACCGTAACACTGCGTAACAAATGAGATACTATTCAATTAAACTCCGATTTAAATTTTATTTTGTACTTAAGTCGAAATTTCGAACTACAGTAGGTTTTATTATTTAATAGACCAGTCAATAAAGCATTATAGATGGAAATCCATGGAACACAATTTTTGACTTCGGGACTTTATTTAGACTAGTTAGGAGGTGAACATAGCAAAAGTCCCCGCCCTTAGCCCTTGAGCCGGCCCTTGTAGCAAATTGAATAAGCTTTTTTTGGTTCATAGTAGCCATGTCACTAGGACGCATAGTTTCCGAGAATTATGCGAAAAACCGAAAAGTGGTACCTTTAAACCCCCCTCTCCCCGCCGGCTCAAGGGCTAAGGGCGGGGACTTTTGCTATGTTCACCTCCTAACTAGTCTAAATAAAGTCCCGAGGTCAGAAATTGTGTTCTAGGGATTTCTCTCCACACCGTTGTTAAAGCATTCATTGACTGGACTATAAAGGGAAATGTTTCTATGTAATATACTTACCCAAAAGGTGAAACTGTACCTGTTCAAGAAGAAGCCTTAGGACAAAAAAAAAACGTAGCTGTAATTTAAAAATGTTATATTTTACAAAGTTTAACAAAATTTCGAGCATGTAAGTAAAAATAAAATAAATTAACAACAAAAGATACACTCTACAAATTCTTCTTGTATTCTTCTTTCGGAAATTGAAAACGATGTAAAACTAATTTAATGATGATTTTACTTCGTTTTCAACTTCTTCTGAGGCGCGGCGGGCGAGGTCTGCGCGTACATGGCGAAGAAGACTCCGGCGGCGACCACGAGGATTGAGCTCAGGAGGGTTATGTACTCGGGACGGTTTCTGAAACAAAACACACAAATTAAGTAACATTAGGTATGCGTATTTATAAAACGAAACTCATAATGAACTCGATATAGGGATGGGGTTTAAAGTCCGTTCTTTTTCAAGCAAGAAGCTTTGTTTTAAGTCTAAAAATAAAAATAGAAAAACAATCACTAGTTGACCCCAAGATGGTGGTGTTTGCTTTGAATTAAGATAACTAAAATAAAATAAAATGGTAGGTAAATAGAATAAGTAGAATAAGAATTTCAGCGTTCTTTCTATAAACCTGAAAGTATTTTCAGATTTTTCAGTTCCAAATATTACTTCATTTACAGTTTCAATCTACTAGACATTTCTTATCAAAACTGGTTGATTTTTATTAACCACTAGTGACCTTGGAACACCGTGCAAATTGTGTAACAGTGGTAGGTAGGTACATACTTAAGTTACGCATATATAGGTACGCGATAGTAGACACCCGTGGAAATTCCATACATTGCGTGAACTAAAACCACGTTGCAACAAAAGTTATTTCGTTGTGGATAAAAAAATCTAGTTTCAGTCGCTCAGTCTTAATAAGTCAATGGTGACCGGTCATTATGGAAATAATTGGGGAAAGCTTATGTTCAGCAGATGATGGTGAGATGGATGATGATGGCCGATGGGCCTTAAAGCCCCGTTGTCTAGTTTCTCGGCAGTTACTTAAGCCCGGTTTCTAAATTGAGATTTTCAGCTTGAGCGTGCTCATCCTCTACTCAAAGATGAATTTACAAGCCATATTGATTAGAAAACTGGGCCTTAAAGTCTTGATTCGTTTCGTTTCAGCCGAATGACATCCTCTGCTGAACAAAGGCCTCCCCAAGGATATCCACAAAGACCGGCCCTGCGCCGCCCGCATCCAGGCACCTCCCACGAACTTTACCAGATCGTCGATCTACTTAGAAGGAGGCCTGCCCACACTACGTCTTCCGGCTCGTGGTCGCCACTCGATAACTTTTCTGCCCCAGCTCTGTGAGCTATATGCCCCGCCAACTGCCACTTGATTAACGATTCTTGATTAGGTAGTGTACATACTCGAAAGGTTTCCCGCACACGACGTACCACGAGGCACCGAACTGAGGCTTCTGCCCTCCCACGCAGCTGAAGTCGAAATAGCCCTCGTCGAAACTCTCGGCGCAGAAAAACTTGCGCTTGACCATCTGGAACGTATTGTTCATACAATATTTTTACTAATTTATTTTTTATACTGACCATGGCACCTGAAGCTAAGCAGTCCATAAACGTATTAAGCAGGTGTCATTTTATTAAGAAAACTACGTCATTGATGTTTTTATTCTTCTTCTAATAAGAATAGAACAGACCTCAGTAATTGGGTCCATTACTAATTCAAAAAAGTCCAGAACTATTATTAAATTAATGATTATATTTTTTAATACGCAACATAAACGCTTGTGCACTTCTTAGCTCTTGCTTACAAAGTAGCAGTTTTATCGATAGTCAATTTATAAATTACCTGTCCAAAAGGTGTTTTGACCACTGCAACTTCATTGCAAGGTCCCACCGGCTCGTGAAGTCCCAGAGACCACTCCCTCTCAGGGTTGAAGAACACAACGAAAACCCAGTAGATGACGAAGTGAACTGCCAGTTGAAGGTTCAATACGTAGTCAATAGTGGTCAATCTGTAAAAGTAGATGATTAATTAGACGTTTCGAATACAGCTAGACTTCATCTTACAACGAAGTGGCAACGACGTCGCACGACAAATTATAGGTCATCATCATCATCATCTCAGCCATAGGACGTCCACTGCTGAACATAGGCCTCCCCCAATGCTTTCCATGTTACCCGGTTGGTAGCGGCCTGCGTCCAGCGCTTTCCTGCTACCCTTATGATGTCGTCGGTAACCCGCTCGACATAGCACGACATAAGTAACCCGCTGGAATTTTAGAAATCTTCTCAAGAAGGAGGGTATTTTAATTTTCCCTGCACGGCAAGTAAAATAAGACATGAACCAATAACTAAAAACTGTTTTACCTATTTGACTTTTGTTTGTATGGCATTGTGTTAATGTTTGCTCAGCTGGATTTAGATTTAAGGTTAGTTACTACGCCGACTAAACTAAGTAAACAATTTTAGTTTTAATTTGTGCCCGTCGCACACTCTTTTGTTTCTTAGATCTACAGCATTACCAACTTATTATTATTCTATGGCATTACACTTACCTACATTAGTGCCTATAGTGGATAAGTTAATATAACTGGGTAGGTATCGAATGTGCTACATTGATACAACATTGTTCGGCGATGTAGGTAAGTGCTTACACACACATCGAAAGAATTAAGGAGAGGAAGAATATAACTAACGGGACTATTCCCACCTCTCGTTCCCACCGCTGCAACTCCTGTGTAGCCAGGATCTACAGGAGCTGAGCTTGACCGCCATAAAAACTCAACCAATGAAGGTCAAGTTTGTCCCGGGAAAAGTTAAACTGTCATTGGAGATTGGATCCGCAACGAAATTAATCAGAAGAACATTCGACTTCGAAGAATATAGCAAGGGAATCTCTTTCTGTTTGATACTGACCTCTCTTTGACCTTTTCTCTCTCGCTCAAAAGGCCGTTGATGACAAAGACAGCGAAGACCGAGAGGAGCACGAAGACTGCGACCTCCGCGTGAATGTTGTAGACGTAGCGCAGAGGCTGGAGGAGGGCCACGTAGGGCAGCAGGCCTCCTGGCATGCCCAGAAGCACTGACAGCAACAGAGCCTTCCATTCCGCCTTTTTGCTATAAATAAGAGTTACTTATTTAGTCGTGTACCTACAATATGAGCCTACTTAGAAGATAGGTAATTTGTGTTTGCCAGCAGGAGGTTATTTGCAAACGGTTGAACTTAAAATCGGTTCGAAATCAGTATAAAATAAACTTTCTTCTACCATTATTACTTTTACATTACATTAAGAAGTTTATGCGATGCGTGTCCTATTAATTACTCGCACACTTTTCCGTTTAAAAAACGTTGAAAATTAATTTATTACATTTAATACTTTACTGTAGCTTAGAATATGGTGATTTTTCTAATTGAAAACATTTGCAACTGACTTAAACTTTCAAGATTAACCGCGCAAATAACCGCTCCCGTGAGTTTTGAAATAAAATCGCAATTCCACAAACGCCGCGGGCGCGGGTGAAAATCGCGCCGTGAGTTCTTAGAATGAACATACCCCGCGGACTCCCACTGCGCGGCCTTCGGTGCCAGCCACCTCCTGGTAGCACCGAAGAGGAAGAAGAAGCTGGCCGTGAATGTAGCGTAGAAGAAGTACGAGGTCCAGGGCACCCAGTAGTGGCGGTCGAAGATGCTGGGGTCGGTGTCGTGCCAGGTCCGGTGGACGAACTTCACCGCCACGAGGTCGTACGGCAGGTTGATGAGCACGGTCACCAGGCCCACGGCGAACGACTCCGCGTACCGAGGCAATCTCAATTTCGATACAGCGTAAGCAGCATTATACAGGAATGCGGGGTCTGAAATTGTTTTTATGCTCTTGAGTCGGTATTAAAACTATCATGGTGCGGCCAAACTGGTTTCATCATCATCATCATCATGATTTCAGCCACAGGACGTCCACTGCTGAATATAGGCCTCCCCCAATGACTTCCACATCGCACGGTTGATAGTAGCCTGCATACAGCGCCTTCCTGTTACCTTTATCAGGTCGTTGGTCCAGCTTGTGGGAGTTGTGGGTGGACGTCTCACGCTGCATTTTCCGGTACGTTGGTCTCCACTCCAAACTGGTTTACTAACAATTACTTAATTAACGTTTTACGAGCGATAGTAATACTTACATACAAATATGCTGTGGAGTGGGTGTCTTGATCCAAAGAACATGACAGGAGTTTGTGAGTGCCATAAGTTATCACTTTCAGGCGATATTGCGCGCCAGAAGTTGTCCGTGTATAGGCCGTGTAAAACCGTGCCCAGCCAGAAGTACGGCCATCTGCCCCCTTTCTTGACAGCTGTTGGACAAACGTACAAAATTCTTATATAGGTACTCGTATAAGATAGTTTTCCATACTGATATAATCTATACAAATTCCTACATAAGTCTTTCACTAATTTTCTTAGTTAAGTATTGAACAGCATTGGCGAACCTTACTTATTTGATTTTTTCCAATTCTTAGGTGGACCTATCATCCACGCGCTTAGTAAGTACTTAGGCAAACGTCCGTAGCAGGATCCACGGTAACCGTAGCAAGAGCTAAGTACGTGCTACGATAGGATACATGCAGTACTTATGATTGAGAAGGACTGTTGTTACTTATACTCATAGGACGAACATCAGTGGCGGCGTAGCATGGGTTGGCACCCGGGGCGAACACCCCCCCCCCCCTATTCACAAAAAAGTAATCGTTCTAATTGGTTTGTAATCGGCGGAGATATTGCGTATAAATATGTTCATCCCCAATTTTCCATCCTTGGGGGTTGTTTTTTTTATTATTAAATTTAAATGGGACCACCCTTGAGGTATTACCTATACGCTGAAAAAAGATTTGTTCAAATCGGTTCATAATTGGCGGAGTTATCGCGTAACAAATATAGAAAAAAAAAACATACGGGTCGAATTGAGAACCTCCTCCTTTTTTTGAAGTCGGTTGAAAATGATGATATTTAAATTAAAATACCTAAATATTTTGTTAGTGATGGATATTTTTCAAGACATACCGTGCAGGAGAGTTATTAGCCCAGCGAACACGAACACCGCCTGGGAAATCAAATACGTGGGCTGAGCTGTCCACAGCTGCTTCACATCATTCACATGGACTAGCCACTGCCACCACTGTGAAAGATAATAATATAAGGACACTTGAATACACCACTTGTTCGAAAATGGCCGGCTTAAGTATTAAGTACCTAGTCGATTAATCAATCAATATTATCATCAATATGTTATGCACCCTAACATTTATTAATTTGGTAACTCTTCTGTAATTAAATAGTAGACTAGAATCTGATTAGGTATATAGAAATTGATGATTACTTAATTCAAGCTCAAAAGTAAATTAAAACGTTCATAAAGTATTCGAACTAGGGTATTAACTTAAAATTTCTATTTCGCAGAGCATTTATTACCTAGGCACCTACTTACTTGATATGTCTGAAAGATCAGTCTGAATTCGCATAGCAGAATAAAAAAAATCACGTAAGTATGCCTAAACTGTTTGAAATAAAATCTGTAAAGTTAGCTAACTGACCGTGATCGTGTTGGTCGCTGCCGCCATCTCGTGTGCTGCGCCTGCGCGTCTAAGGGAGAATGGATTTTAAATGAACCGCATCTTAGACGGCCGCGGGTGCGGAGTGTGAGGTTACAAGATATCGATATCGAAGTTAGTTTAAAGGCAAAAAACCAAAGGTCTACGTGGCTACGTAGTCGAATCAATCAGGCATGAAGAAATCGATAGGAGGTTCAATTCAAGTAACCGATCATAGCCAGCAGAATTGCCAAACTTAAAGTGGCAGTGGGAACGGCAGATTTCAAGTAGATCAAGGCTGAAAAGTTTGTGAGTGGCGACCACGGACCTAACCACGGACCGGGAAATGAACGGAGTGGGATAGCTTTCCCTCTAGGTGGCCCGATGATCTGATGACTGAAGGTCGTTGAGCGGAACACCTAGTTGTAGAAATCATTGGGAGAAGCCTTTGTAAAATATGTTTATTCATTAACTAAATAAGATTTTTAAATATAAGTAGGTACCTACTTAGAGTAGGTAACCTTCTAGAATAGAAAAATTATTCACACCATTATCAAGTAATACTATAGGTAGTGAAATAGAATAGGTACTGGTAAAATGTTATTACCTATTCAAATGAATTTTCTTATATCGATAAGTTAACATCTCTATCGATTTTCTTAGGTTGCGACGTGTCCCCACGCCGGTGCCAACGCAAACGCCACACGACAATAGCCGGCAGAACACCTGTATATCATGTGCGATTGGTAAACATACTAATGACTGTTTTATTATCTAGCTACATTAAAAATATTAGGCTGACGAAAAGTCATTTCTGTTTTACTAGTTTAGCCTAGTCAGTATATAGTGTAAAAACCATTTGCAGCTTCAAAAAACTTTTACGCGCCACGCATCTCGTGAAAAGCAGCAAATTAAAGGGACTGAGTTACAAGGTCGTGCTTAAAGCTTGAGATGAGATTGCAAGCATTGATTAAGAACGATCCTGAGAAGGATTTTATCAATCTTCACCCCAAACAGGGGGTAAAACGAGATACACGCGTACAAAGTCGCGGGCGGCCACTAAGTAGTTACTTACTTACTTATAAATATGTTTTACTTAGCAATTTTGCGCTCACATACTTAAGTATGTACCTCTCCTTCCATTTGGTCTTTGGGGTTAGAACCCATATTATTATCCTGTAGGGCAGGGGTTCCCTAACATAGTTGAGACGCGCCCCCTTTCGACCTGTTAAGATTATTATATTGGTCTTATCGAGCTTCGAGCAGTCTGGAATGCATTCTCTCAGCGGTCGCAGGTTTTTATACTTTAAAGGTCTTTGCGCCTCCCCTGGGGAGCGCGCCCCCCACTTTGGGAACCTCAGATCATAGAAAGAGTTGGGAACCAATGCTGTAGGTAGGGTATTGCAATGTCAACAATGCACTGGCCCATTAATACAAGCTGATTTTTGTACAATTATTTATAGCGAGATGGTCCAACCATCGATTGAGATCCAAAGCCGTAAAACTAAAAATAAATAAAAAAGTCATAACACCTTAACTGTCATTTGTGACCACAGATGAGATTTGTGACAGTACTAGTACTACTACAGTAGCTCCAGAATTTATAGGTTAGATCACAGATATGGATTAGAGGGTTAGATCCTGAAATCTATATTTTTGTTTTCATTTTAGTGTGCGATTTATCTGCTTAATGAAATATTCAAATAATAAATAATCAAGCTGTGTTTAACTTTACAGTCATTACAGAAAAACCGGTCTATAACGTGGATAACGGAAAATGTCTTCGATACTCAGGACTTTACACAAACTATCTCGCATTAGTTTTATTTCGAATAACAAGAATCTAGTCGTAAATCCAATAAGAACAAACGCTAACATAGCAAACACTTTAAAATCGCAAAAATCTAAGAACAAGAAAGAATCGGTGGAAGTTTTTAAATGGATTTTGTTGGTGGGTGGAATTTTGTGGTATAGTCATTTTTGTCATTAGCAATCCAGTTTTAATTCTAATGATATTTCAGATGATTCCAGTTACATCATTCGGATTGGGATGTTGGCAAGTTTATCGCTTACAGTGGAAGGTAGAATTAATAGACCGCTTACAAGCAAAATCCAATGCCGCTCCCGTTGATTTACCAAACAAGTATGTTTTTGACTGTTTTGCAACATTAAAAATAGTATTTTAATATTAATAACATATTTTTACTAACATACAGATTTTTATTTTTTAGCTTTGAAGAACTAGAAAACATGGAGTATCTGCCTGTAAAAGTTCGGGGCAAATTCCTACATGACAAAGAAATAGCCATTGGTCCTAGATCTCTTATAGAAAATGAATCTGCGCTAAGTAGAGTGGGGTCTCTCGTTTCTGATCCTAAGAAAAATCAGGGCTGGCTGATTGTTACACCTTTTGAAGTGGCAGATTCTGGGTTAGTATAACATCCTTCTTAGTAGCCTGTCTTTTAAATGTGGTGAATGATATCCACCTTGTATTTTAGGAAAGTGATTTTAGTAAACCGAGGATGGGTTCCACAGCAAATGCGACCAAAGGAGAAAAGGGAAGCATCCATGGTGACAAAAGAAGTTGAACTTACTGGTGTTGTGAGGTTAACTGAAAAACGAGCACCGTTTATGCCTAAAAATAATCCAGAAAAAGGCTCTTGGTTTTGCAGGTATGCTATGCTGAAAAATGTTTAAAATACAGTGTGAGTCACGTTAAAGTGTACATGTGAAAATAGATTAAACTAGACCTATTTTTATCGACAAAAAAGAGTCAAAAAATTTTGGAGATTTTTTTCATTGCAAACGTTGTGATAGGGATACAGACATGCGATTTCTGGTTTTACGAAGGTAATACGATAGAGAATAATACAAAGTAATAAAAACCACCAGTTATAGGGGCATTTTTTGGAGAAATTTATCAAATTACCAAATAAACACGAATTTAAAAGCAGATTTTTTTCAGTCTCATATTTTATTATTTGTTGGCATTTTTTGTGTATTTTATGTATTTTTTTAGTATCGCCTGTTATTTAGCATTAATACTGTTTTTATTTTATCAGGATATACCGCTTAGTTTGAAAGTTATTACGTTTTCTTTACAATAAGTAATTGGAAGAAAAAAAATTCTATAAAAAATTTATAAAAAATCTAAAAAAAATTTTGACCTCTTTTTTGTCGATAAAAATAGGTCTAGTTTCACCTAATTTCATAATATGTACACTTTAACGTGACTCACACTGTATATGAAACAGATTTTATGGGAAATCCAATGACAACTTCTTCACTTCTTTAACCAAACGGCAAAACTGCAGCAAATTAATTAGGTTGTCATAACATAGACTGCCAATAAAATTAATTATAATGTCTGATTGCATTTTAAAATGTATTTTTACTTATCATCTTTTCATTATTTATTAATGTGTTTTTGCAGAGATTTAGAACAAATGAGTGAGCATATAGGCTGCGAACCTGTATGGTTGGATGTGAGAGGTATTCCTGACCCTCCTGAAGGCTGGCCCATACCGAATCAGACACGAATCACTTTGAGGAACGAACATTTCTCATACCTTGTCACATGGTATTCCTTATCGGCATTTACAGCAGTTATGTGGCATCGATTTTTCATTAGGAAACTGCCATTGCTATAATTACTAATTCCTATTATGAATGTACAGATGTATTTATTAACAAAATGTTTTGTAGATTATTATTTTTAAGATAGTTTAATTACGAAATAGAAAATATTTAAGCAATAAGCCAAAAGTTGTTTTCATTTAGATAAAGCTTGTTCAAGCTGGTGCGAGGAGATAAATGTGATGTTCATCATACTAACTACTAATAAAACTCTTTTGCTTAATTCTCCTTGCCCCATCTCCCACAACCATTTTTCGTACGCGTGGATCCCGTTTTATTACCCCCTTCATCTATCTTACGCGGTTTAGATTTTTTCATACAAATGTTTTTTCCCGCTAACTCTAAATTTCCAATATCCTGTTAAGTTGTAACTAAGCTTTAAGTTTACTAAGGTACCTGCATGCCAAATTTTAAGCGTCTAACTTAAGCGGTTTAGATTTTTCATACAAAAGGATTTTCTCGCTAATTCCCGTTCCCGTGTGATACTCCTAAGTATACTATAACCTGCCCAGGAGTATGAAAAATAATTGTACCAAGTTTCGTTAAAATCCGTCGTGTAGTTTTTGTTTCTATAAGGAACATGCATACAAAAATTTTACTGATTGCATTTTTGACATCAGTATCGATCACTAATTAATCACCCCCTGATAGTTATTTTGAAAATATATTTCATGTACAGAATTGACCTCTCTACAGATTTATTATAAGTAGGTATAGATAGTCTAACACCCAGACCGGTCACAAAAATTAAAATGCATCATTTCAATTTCTGCCCGGCCGAGAATCGAACCCGGGACCTCTCGGCATAGTAGTCCGTTCTGAACCACTACACCAAACGGCAGACAAATACATACCCATGACAATTAACACATTTTATTTTTTTCATTAAAACATTTAACTGATGATACAATAATTGATGTGTCCACGTGGGAATGTGTCTGATTGAAAATGTGTCCCGTTGAAATTGTGTCTCATTGGAACCAAATCATTCTATCTACTAATACATGGGACTAGGATAGTCATTATTGTCAGTTAGTGTGGGTGGTTGGTGGTGTATAGTATTGACTTGATATTAATCAATAAAACAACAATTTTTTCCATATTAATTGAGATCTTTATTTTGGCTCTATAAAGAAATGATCACTTAGTACTAACTGAAGGTACAATATTCAAGTCAAGTAAAAATACATTACCTACGACTGTGGATTACTGCAGATTCTTTTCACGTCAAGATATTAGTACATTTATTACTTTGCTCAAAAATGAAATAGACCAAGTTAACATCACAGAAATAGTCAATAGTCTGATGACAAACTGATTATCTTACAAAATAAAATACATAAAATAAATATAATTTACACAATACTTTCATAAATGCTCACTTAATTAGTACAAAAGAAAATGAAAGATTGCATTAAGTAACAAAATAATAATTATTTCATTATTAATTAATAAGGAATCTGGAGTTTTCCTTTGAAATGTTAAATTTCAAAAGATGTGCAATCATATGCATACCTACTTAACGTACACCAGTTACAAAATCTTACTTTAAAAATATCTTGATTCAAATTAATATTTTGCAAGGAAACAATAATTATTATTATTTACATAGTCTCGACTTATTTTTCAATGAAATACTTAATCTACGTGATGTGTATGTAGTGAAGTACTCAATACAACTTAAAATAATATTATTAAGAAAAGTGTAATTAACAACAAAAAACAATACACAAAACATAATTCATAATAATATGAAAAGAATTAAACATTTGATTTTAACATTAATATTTACTTTAAAATAAATTTTCAAGGATTGTAAGTATACATCATTATTCCACACGAGTGAAATTACGATGTACACTGATGTTATTTAGGAAATGTAAAGAAATGGAAACACTAGTTGACAATAGCAATTACAATTGAAAAAGACTACAATAAGCTTATACCATCAGCGCTCCGAGCAGACAAAGTACATAAACCCTGTCTGATTCCATCATAATGCTCGCTATCCTTATGTTTAAATCCCTGTTTTCTCATTATAGTCTACTTTAATTTTTATATAGAAAAGAGATGAACCCAAAAACGATTAGGACTAGATGGATATCAGTAGTTTCATTATAATGCACATTTTACCCCACCGAAAGCTCAATGCTGAAATCAATGTACCCCATGGTGTGTTATAGACTGAAAAAATCGTAATGAAACAAAGATACTCATTTAGTCCCAATTGATTATGAGTTGGACCTTTTCTTTTCGAAGATAAAATTTTATAAAATGTATATAGTTTACATCACATTTTAACCAATATTATTACAAAATAGAAAATAAATCAAGTCATTTTGAAATACTCCATGATAAAATGTCAATGTCAATAAATCGATAATAATTACATTTAGAAGAATGTCAACATCATAATTAAAATTAATTACAATAAGTATGAAAAAATATCTCGGGGTCAAATAAAGTTGTCCTTCGTGATAGTCCAATAGTCGGACAGGACATATAACATTATTAATTACCAACTCATAATAATAAAATTAAAAAGAAACCTTCTTTCGAGAATGAATGATTCTTGATTTTGAGATTTTTGTCATCCTTATCTCCTGTGTTAAAAACAAATTAAACACTGCTTCTTCTCCACTGATTTTAACGTCAATAGGTTTTGTCCTCCACGAGTTGAATTGTGGACCAATATGATATTACAATACCAATCTACTCCTACTGAATTCGTATCGTAACGAGTGCTATAGGCCTAAGATGCGCGCCGTGATAACTTTTATCGACGTCAATTTGTATGGGCAAAATCGATAAAATGGCGTGATAACCGCCTATCACGGCGCGCATCTTAGGCCTACTGAACGCCAATTATTACTTTTTAACAACGCATGATGCGCATGTGTATCTTGGAATCTTAAGGTGGAGGAAAAGACGATGGTAAAGAATATCGTATTTGAAGTGAGCGAATCATTCATTACCGAAAAAGGAGCGTGGGAGAAGGCTCGGCAACAGCCGAAAATTGAAAGATAATCCAATTTTGTAGCTCCGCTTGAGTGGCAAATCCAATCGATGTTATACATTTTTAAGAAACCAAATAAAATTCTAACATTATAGGACAGTTTAAAATCATTTTCTCTTCTACTACTTGAGTAAATTATTTTAAACTGACAATTACATAAAACATCCGATTGCGAATGGACGGCAAATAACGTGTCCATGTTTAGATAAACCAGAGGTTTACTGTAATAAAGCTGTCAGTTTAATATAATCGACCCTAGACGAGAAAAATGATTAAACAATCCTAATTATATGTTTTCACGATATACGTGAAAACTTTACATAAACTTAGGCAACATGTACATAAAATTCAAGCGGGCAAATCAAAATTCGACACATGAATTTGAGGCACATGCGTCGGGTCTATCTTGGGCGTTGTCTTGTAGTCGCATATGCCCAGTTCCTTGAGCTTCCACTCCCATCCCATCATCTGGACTGCGTGCAGAGTCTCTGCTTCCGTGTGCTGGCGTCGAAGCATGCCGACCTGTGGCCACCAAGCCAAGTTAGCATCTCTAGTAAAAAGCCCAAGGACCGACCAGCTAATGAAAGGGATTCTCAGCAAATTATACCACAATGAAACAGAAAGTCAAGTAAAATGAGGACCACACCAATAAACTTAAAGCATGAAAATGGATCCTATATTGTCTCTTGGATATTGACAGTTTTGGATTGCACAAATATAATAAGTTTAACTAAACCCAGCACAGGAAACTAGAAAACGTGAAAGTTGTTTTTGAATGATCCACGCGTACGAAGACGCGGGCGGTCGCTAGTATTTTGTTTTTGTTGACCTTTGGGCCGAACACAATGAAGTCGATTAAACTGTTTGCTGTGAGACTTACTTTAATCTTTTCCCACTTGTCGTCGACTTCCTGCAGCCAGGAGTTGATCTGTCTGCCGTTGCAGCGGGATCGTTGCGCGTTCCGTTTCTCCTCCTGCTCGGGGGCCAACACGTTGTACACCTCGTTGTCACGCAGCATTGTGCACACGGAGAAAGGAAGAGCCTGCAATGTAAAGCATTGTAGTTTAACGTCCAGTGATGAAATTTTTTCTGTACTATTGTATTACACACACATACTGCACTTTTAAATTAGACATTTTGAGGAGGACGTACAACTGTTGGTAATAATCATTTACATTCCAATGCAGTTGTACAAAAATTTATAAATAATACCATTTTGCGTTTGAAGTCTTGCAAGCGGACGACTAAACCTCTAATTTGATCACGTTCACGTATCATCAAAATATTTTTCTTTGTATTTAGATTGTTCCATGAAGTTATCGTTTAAGATTTCATTATACAGCTAATTTCAAAGAATAGATAAATGATGACCAGACAAACAAGTTCTAATGTTACGATATCTGTTATTGACCGTTTTCCCATTAGGGTATAGCTTCATATTTCTTTCTGATTTGCGTCGCTAGCCAAAAATGCTGATGAGGTTACAAGTGCAATCGGTTATGTAAGTAAATGCATTTATTGCGCAATAACTATGAAAAATAAACATGTTTCATATTCGTAAAAAGGTACTACAGTTCTCCAAAATTTTAATATTATTTTATGGAGTAAACTTACTTGATTCGCAACGGCACGCTCGGCGCGCCCGTGCACCCTCAGAATCTCTTGTTCGACAGCCAGCACAAGTTTTTCTTTCTCCACCAGGTGTTGTATACGCAGTCGAGTTCTAAACAAACATTTACTGATTTAAAAACACATAAAACTCATTTATTTTTGCAAATAGGCTTTTAAAAAGCACTTTTACACGTCCCAATATTAATCCTACCACTGCTTCGGGACAATAAATGGGCCAGTGCTGAGAAGAAGCAGCGCAAGAAACTCAGTCACATTTACTAGCACAACATACATTATTATTCAATTTCAAGAAAGGGCATTTCTTTGGTTAAATTCAGATATTTCAACCAATCACAATCACTATGACTGAGATTGAATCTAGTTTTGAACGTTATTTTGTAATATGGATAGGTTTTACCTTTCTTTTTCCTGGGTCGTAAATTCGTTGACCATCTGAGATGGGAGGTTGATTGGTATCTCGATCTGAGGCTCAGGATTCACATTGCTTTGGAGCGTGTAAGTGCAGCGATTCATCAGGTATTTGTTGAAATCCTTTGGCGGCTTCGGCTTCACAGGGAATAACCCCTTTTGACGCTTATCAATCTACAGGGAAATACGAATATTATGCCATGATATATCGTCGTAAATCATTGCACACCAACACAGAAAAACTTACAAGTTTTTTCGTGTTTCTGAAACATTAAGCAGAGTTAAATACATTTGATTCCACTATCACATGCATTACCTAGTCCCAAAACAAAGTAAAGCTTGTACAGTGGCGACTAGGTAACATTGATTTATTTTGTGTTTAATTTGAACCGATGAAAACAGTGATGCATTTTTATCATAACCATCACCTTGCAGACACCAAACAGTCCGTCAAGATGAGTGAATTAGTTTTTGGGCATTACTGAGTAAGAAAACAATTATACCTGTTTACGAATATGCAGATACATTTGATAAGGGTTCGAATGGGTTATGTTGTGACTAGCAGAGCTGCTCTCGGACGCGTCGTTCTTCGAATTGTCCCGCGAGTGGCTGTCCTTAGAGGCTTTGATCTTCCTCTTCCTCGGGTGTAGTTCTACCGATGTATCTGGGCACATATTGAACCAGTGAGCGTTGTAATGTGAATCATTGAGCTCGCGTAATCTCTCAAAAGTTAGGGTCTAAAATGACTAGAACGTACTTGACTCAGATCTCCCGCCGCCCGTCGAGTGGTCTGCATCCTGCCCCTAAAACAAATAAATCTGATATAAAATCTGCAAGATTGGATTGATGTCCAATATAACATTTTCAAAGCAATCTTATAAAACTAATTTATATTAAATTCTAACCTTCGATCGTGCCTGTTGAGACAGACATGTAAAACAAAAAAAAAGACAAAATATGTTAATCATATTTTGCAACGGAATAGATAAAGTATCAAACTGAATACAAACTACTTTGTATACTAAAGACTTCCTGGCACAATTAACCGTTCACCCCATTACACTTATTTGTCTTGTTTATGTTTGTTACTTAGATATTAGTTTATTAGATACTAGGTCATGTGACGGCGAAGTGGATCGGTTTGAACGCAAGTCAAGGGTTTGTTATCCGCTTGGGACAAGTAAAAAACGATTGTTTGAAATGGCTTGTGTAGTAGGACAACGATCATACAAAAATCCGTTGTGTGATAACTATGTTGTATCACGACGATCTAATTTAGGTTTTAGGTAGGTTTTTCGTTCTATTACGTATGTGTATATTATGCTGACTAAATAATTTTGATAACAAAATGTTTTTTTTTAATATTCGCAATTTTTTATGTAATGGTTCGTTTGATGATATTTGCAACAGTGTTTTCGAGCATTTATATTTCATTACACCCAAATTATCACGTTTAAAAAAGGGCTGTATAATTTAAAAAGTGATGATTAATTGTACGACTAGTTGCATAAAACGCCAAACCTGTGTTGTAATCTGTTGCGGACGACTCCTGGCTCAACGCATTCCGGTTAATTGTGCCGGTGAAGGTTTTTAATTAAAAATCACTTACAGAGCCGGATGGTGTGGGACTTTTATTGGAATTCAAAGCCGAGTGACTCTGTCCCCCCCGGCCGTCAGAGCCCGTGTGCGGGGACGCTCTCTCCTTGTCCTTATCACCATCGTTTGTCCTATGCGAACGCAGTACCCTTTGTCCAGCCTTAAGAAAAAATATTTCGTTGAACAATATTCAATGTGCAAGGACAATCTCTCAACACAGGAAAATAAAAAGCTAAGACTCATATTCGCTTCAAAATAATCATAATAGACAGTGATGCTTTTTCGATCGAACATATACATTCAACATTATGACCAACAGATCATTCACATTTGAACAGCTAACCCGTTACAACAAGCCGTTGAACACAGATAACCAATGCACAACTACAACTAACGAATTACATTTAACGGAGGATAGGATTAGTATTTCAGTCAAAATAATAATGAATCAGCATGCTGAAATATATTTTATAATCATAAATCAGTTGTAAATGAAGACAGATAAGTGACAAAGCAGGGAAGTAAATGTCGGCTGCTTTTCTTTTCCGGCATTATGTGTACAAAATAAAGAAGAAACGTTACATAACATCAAACATCCAGTTTCACACAAGAGTGAATGTTATAGTGAAAATGATTGCTACTTGCTTGTCGTCGCGTTGGCTTGAAAAGATAAAATTTCACCGTCTTAATTTCCTTATAGAGCTCTGTATGTGATATACGCAAAAAATAAACGACTATTCCAGTAATGTAATAATTATGATAAACACTAACATATTGTTGCCTTTTAATGTGTACTTGTCATCTCGGTTCGCGTGACTTACCTTTCCGCCTTCGCCCGAGCGCTTTTCCTCGCATATTCCATCGGAGCTGTCGGAGGTCTGGCCGGCGTCGGCGCTGGTGCAAGGGATGACGTAGGGCAAGGTGGACACGCTCCCGCGTCCCTTGCCGCCGCCGCGCTGGCCGGAACCCCCTGTGGTGGCAAGCTCCGTTAGAACACACACTTGAACACCAAACTACACATCCAGTTCACACCGAGCACGTCACGAGGAGGGGGTCCACAACACTGGGATTATTACTCAACATACCATCACCTTCTTGCTCATTCCTGTTTCCTGAGTTACTGGCCCCTCCCGGGATGACGATCTTGAGCGGCGGCACCTTGGGCGCGGCGGTCTCGCTCTTCGGCTCGTCCCCGTCGTCCGTGTTGTCTTTCCCGTGCGGCTTCGGGCTCGCCACGGGGCTCTTCCTGTCTTGCTTGCTCGACTGTCCCGAGCTCTTCGACCCAGAGGATTTACCCTTGAGAGTACAAACGCACATTTAATACACGGTTTTAGAAGTACATTCATAAAGGTAAGCGGACGCCGAAGACTTGATGGTGTCAGGACTGGTGTCCTCCTCCTCTCCATCGTCGCCTGTTAACTTTGTTACCTGATGAGTGCCCTGTGTGCTGACCTTGCCGCCGCCTTTGCCCTGGGATTGCAGACCTTTGGAGCTGGAGCTGCTCTTGCTCGAGCTTTGCGAAGAGCTGCCCTTGCCTAGCTGTGACACGCCGGTTTTGCTCGCCGGGCCCGGTGGTTTGGAGCCGGTGAGAACCCTGCGTAAGGAAGCATTCTTGGTTCTACTGAAATGTTTATAAAACCAAAATATTCTTCATGAAACATCTTAATGATTGAGATCATCTTGCCGTGCCTTGGAAGATAGTTGTTATGTTGATAAAATATGATTATTAACAATAAAAATTTAGAGTCACTTGGCTAGAACATTATGGAAAATTAACTTACCGCCCGGGGCCGCCTCGAGCTACCGGAGCCGGCTTTGCCATGGGTTCCTTGTCGTCATTTTCTTTCCTCTTCTTCCTCTTGGAGACCTCATCTTCCGCTGCTTCCGCCTCTTGACTCTCGTCGCCGTACGTTTTCTTAGAAGACCCACTGGACTCATCTTGAGTAGAGGACACAACTCCACTACTAAGTTGGGCTCCTCCTATTCATGCAACAAGTAATAGTACTAATTAGTAGAGATAAACAATGTTAAAAGAGCTAAATAGGGTTAAGTCAATATATCATGATGGAGATAATACAATAATTAAGTGAATTAATAGCACCATTGACTGTTTTTTTATTTAAGTAAGCTATTTTTTCTTTGTTGTTTTATCTCACTAATTAATAGATTTATTTTCATCAGTAGAAAGGAAAATTTGAAAAAGATGTGAGGATATAATTACAAATCATACTTGCTCTAGCATGAATGAAAGTGTACAAAGTTTATAATAATGAAAAAAGAAATAACACATACCCGAATTTTTACCATCTCTACTGTCAGCACTACTCTTATCCTGTGAAGAATTCTCCTTGCTATCGAAGTGTTCGCCCTGGGCTAGGCCGTCCATGTTGCTGCGTTTGCTTGAGCTGTCACTGTGTGAACTTGCATTGCCACCTTTCTTGCCACTGTCATCCCTTGATCGACTTGAATGTGATGATCTCGCGCTATCTGCATAATAATACATATTGTTCCACGTTACATGCATCAAATGGCATATAAAATTTTCACTGTGGAATATAAAGCAATTTCTCAATGCCAAATCACATTAACCCCGATAGACTTCAGATATGTGAATGCATTTAATGTTGTGATAATATATTATTTTATCTCCAATGTTTACAGAACTGGCTAGGTCATTGGACGATTTGTACAAATAAATCTCGGGTGCGAAGTAAAAAAATGCACTATCTATGATTACTGGTTAATATAACTGATTTACGTTATCTAACATTTACAATGGCTGTTGTACAGAAAACCATAGGAAGTTAACTCATTGCACTATTCTAAAACAATACCGTAACAAGAATTTTTTTGTCTGTAAATAAAAGTAAGATTAATGAATGCTACTGACAACGCCACTCTTGTAGCGGAGTTTTGGGCTGACACTGTATAGGTTTGTTGTCAACACTACAAGAAGAAGAATTATCTGATGGTCACTTTTAAGTTACCTAGGTTATCATGCTATAATTTATTTACAAAAATGAGCTGTAAATCAAATTTAGGTTCATTTTATTCTCTAAGTCCAGCAACTAGAATGTTGATATTTATTTCAATAATTTAAATAAACCCATTAGGTTGGATAGACATAAATAGGCGTAAAAATGTTTTATGTCTTTATGTGTGTATTGCTGTTGTGACCTTAATAAAATTAAGCTTACACTTAGCATGGAACCAAATGTTATTGTTCATATCTAATTTGGTGTAGGTAATCTTATTGGTGGTCTTTTTAAATAAAAATAAAATATATTTTTTTATAGTATTATGTTGGATTAGGTTAGGTTAGGTTAGGTTTTAGACTTTAAGTTCTAAATGGAAAAGGCATGTAAGAGATTATATTTTGTGTCTATGAAATGCAATTGTTTGCACTGTTTTTAGTCATGTTTGTAACTCACAAAATGTTATATCAGCATACCTATTAGTCATAATTCCTAAGTTAACTAAGGGTGCACAATCAGTAGCATCAAGCTAATTGTCCAAATGTTTTATCTGCATTTCCTGCATCTGACAATTAATCTGAAAATTAATACTGTGACATCACTTAAGAAAGGAAGAGAAAGAAAGAAAAGAGAAGTACATCATAAATATATCTATCTAATTTTAAGTTATTTTAGTATTATTGAAAAGGTACCAAGTGAAAAATAAAAAAACCATTATGAGACCATGTTTGTACACTATAATATCAGTGATCTAAGATAACCGAGTTAATTATTTGTTAATTGGAAATCTAAATAGTTTATGTGATCGATCGGCCGTTTGGTGTAGTGGTCTACTATGCCAAGAGGTCCCGGGTTCGATTCCAGAAATTGAAATGATGAATTTTAATTTCTGTGACGGGTCTGGGTGTAATATGTATAATATGTATGTATTTAATAAAAAAAAAAAGTATATAAGTAGTATATCCGTTAAGCTAGCACCCATAACACAAGCATTGAGTTGCTTACTTTGGGGATAGCTGGCGCTGTGTGCAATTGTCCAAAGATTATTATTATTATGTTTTCGAAATTTAGTAAGATTTTCTCAGATAGATGAGTATTTATCAAAGAACTCCTGATAATTAGTAAACAATCATAAAAAAACATATGAGCTTAGTGTAAGGGAAAAGAAATTGTAAAGGAATTTTAAAAATTATCGCGTCTGCCGGGTCATATATCGCTTCATATACAAAGTATTAGATCGGCGTGAATCATAGGCACCCTTGCACAAGCTAACAGGAATAAAATGTAGCAATAAATAACAATAGACTCCCTTTATTGTGCGAGGACGTCCTCCTTTGCATCTCACGACGTCCAACGCGTTTAGAAATTTTTACTGCCTCTTCACAAATATTTCCACAAAAACCGACGATAAATCGGTAGCCCGGACCGCCACGAAGTTAGGCGTTATGGGGCGGCCATCATTTGGCGACGGTGCAACAATACACGCCCAAGACGCCCCGTTTCATGTCAAACGTCGGTGAGATTTACCACTCGAATAGTTAAACCACCACACTTTCTCTAAGAATTTAGGTAATAATACATTTTTAATTAAATTGATGATGATATAAAAAATCAATAGGATTTTTGATTGTCGGACCCAAAATGTCAAGACGAACAGCGAAGCACTAGGGATGTTCGATGATCACAGATGTTAAGACAAACATCGAGAACTTAGGTTAATGAACTTTAAAAAATGGATTGTCTAGTAGGCATGGAAATGATTGCTATTTTTCATTCATTTTCATTTTATGAAATGATGATCTTTTTTCATACGATTTCACATGCGAAATTTCACAGGCAATGATTTTTATTCGCAGTGTTTTAATGTAGCTCTTTCATATAATGTGCTACTTTTAATGAAGTATGAATTATGATGAACGATTGCTAATTAGCTAAAATATGAAATGTAACAATATCTGTTTCATTTTATGTCGCACAACAAAAAACAACAAGTTTCACAGTACAGACCTATGAATGCAACAATCAATAACCGCGCGACTAGTGAAAAATCATTCATTTCATCTGCCTGCCTCATAATGAAATCATACGAATCATGACAAGGAAATCTAAACCTTACACCTTTGAGTTTAAAGTTCATATTTAAAATGCCCAGTTTCGTCCGTCATCACATCTCTTGTCCTTTTCTAACACGCAAATGATCAAATCATTCCTTCTTACTCGCTCGGTCGCTTCGCAGAGCTGCGCGCACGGACTTCGCTCGAATGAAAGAATGAAATTCATGTAGGCATGGAAATGATTGCTATTTTTCATTCATTTTCATTCTATGAAATGATGATTTTTTTTCATATGATTTCACATGCGAAATTTCACAGGCAATGATTTTTATTCGCAGTGTTTTAATGTAGCTCTTTCATATAATGTGCTACTTTTAATGAAGTATGAATTATGATGAACGATTGCTAATTAGCTAAAATATGAAATGTAACAATATCTGTTTCATTTTATGTCGCACAACAAAAAACAACAAGTTTCACAGTACAGACCTATGAATGCAACAATCAATAACCGCGCGACTAGTGAAAAATCATTCATTTCATCTGCCTGCCTCATAATGAAATCATACGAATCATGACAAGGAAATCTAAACCTTACACCTTTGAGTTTAAAGTTCATATTTAAAATGCCCAGTTTCGTCCGTCATCACATCTCTTGTCCTTTTCTAACACGCACATGATCAAATCATTCCTTCTTACTCGCTCGGTCGCTTCGCAGAGCTGCGCGCACGGACTTCGCTCGAATGAAAGAATGAAATTCATGTGATTCGTGATTTCATTGACTGTGAAATTATAGCAGTCTATGTGAAGTAAAATAGCAGGTGTGATTAATGAAATTAATTTCATATGATTTTTCACCTGCTATTCATGAAATGTTCCATGCCTATTGTCTAGTAGTCTTATTCACGTAACAAAAGTCTTGTTAACTTCGACAACAATTAAACACTGAGTTGCGATCCTATCGAGTAATCGTACTATCAAAATGAACCTTGTGAATACGGATTTAGAACTGTTTTTCAATGGGACGACGTAACTAAACTTCAATGACAACAAATCGCTGAGTTGCGATCATATCGAGTAATCGTTCTGTCAAAAATGAACCTTGCGAAAACGGATTTAGAACTGTTTTTCAATGGGACGACTTTGAACGTCAGCGAGATCTTGACTGTCAAAATACGTGAATCAGGCCACTGGAAGTTAGTCCGATTTGTGTCTTTTATCAGTAATTTTAAAGAGTAACGTAAGAGTATGAATGTCGATGTTCAGTCGATATTATTGTTATGAAGGTCATACCTTACTATACTAACGATGCTTAAACATGTTCTTATTTATTAACTATGTTTTGGTAAAAAGAATAAAGAGGTACAGGACTAGAATGCATGCCACAAATGATACACGACAATTTATTTATTTAAGCAAGAACAATTAAAAAAACATTTGACGTTATTTTTAAACGAATAAACATCGATAGTAACAAATATCGATACTTATTATAATCGTACATTGACATCCCTACAAGGAAGAAGACAGCAGCTTGACAGCTGTTGCGTTGCGCGTGGTTTTTTTTGTTCTATGTTGTCTATGAGGTTGTCTATGGTACCGACTACTGATGATTAGAGCGTGCATGACTGGAGACGGCATGCGGCCATTGCCTTAAGTTCCAATCGCGATTGCGATTGTAGGCACTGGAGCAAGTCTTAGTAATCACTCTTGTAGGGCACTCAATTTTTTTTGGTAGTAATGAAAAAAGATATTAATAAAATTACTAGGGTTCTCCATATAAGACACGTTTTTGGCCTTTTTTGTTATAGCCTGACCAGGAACATAAAAACCCTGGCATAGAGGCGCCTCAATTGCATTTGATAGTGCAACACTGAGTACAGTCGTACCTGTGTTAAATTAATAGGCTAACTTTATGTATCAGGATTCAGGATTACGGGCTAATTTGATATTTTCATAAATTAACGAAATAATATTATTATAGGTAACCTGATTTAAATAAATTAAATGAAACCATCAATCGAGCTAGTAGATTTATTTTATTATTCATCAATAATCAAATTCAGAACTTGAATATTCAACTGCAATGTCTGCTCATGAACGCTTCAAACTCGGTACTTCTTTCCNATATTATTATAGGTAACCTGATTTAAATAAATTAAATGAAACCATCAATCGAGCTAGTAGATTTATTTTATTATTCATCAATAATCAAATTCAGAACTTGAATATTCAACTGCAATGTCTGCTCATGAACGCTTCAAACTCGGTACTTCTTTCCCAATCCCATAAAATTCAACACTTAGAAAGTGACAAAATTTTTAAAATATGTAGTTGAAACAAACCACAGCTAATTTTCATAGTGGACTGTACTATACGATAAACATGTCAGTCAATTTGACAACCTTTGTCGGAAACATTATTCAATGAAAATATTGTCCGAACCCTTAGTATTTCTCTTCGACAAATACTTTAACACATTGTGAACCACTTTTCTTTCACGACTATAAAAATATTTTAGCAATTTAATTCATAAAACCAACTGCGCACATTTAAAATAAAGTTTGTTTACACTTTGACAGCAATAGACTGACATGCAAGGTGACATGTCAATGAAGTTTTCAGTTACTGTTGCCATTAAAAGAAATTAGTACCATTAGTTTTCCGCAACATGGCGAGGGTTTTTATGTTCCTGGTCAGGCTATAATTTACAGATTTACAATAGAACCGAACTTCGTCTGCGAATCCAACTCGCATGTTACAAAATTCATAATAAAGCAAACAACCTATTCTCATACCATATTTCTACCTTCGCAATGCCGATGTCTGTTATAAATAAAAATGCTGTCGCCAATGCAGAAATCTCAATGAAAACCGTATAAAAATTACTCAAATTATGTTTGGAGACAAAAGAGATCAAATTTTAATGTTTCATTCCATTTCCATTCTTTAATTGATAGATGCGTAGTTTTACGTCCCATCGTAAGTAAAAATCAATTGAGTTGCTCCGTTAATTCTGACGTCAACGCGGCACAATACCGCATGCGCTCTGCCCTCGCGAGATTGATCGACGCACTGCATCCGACCTGATTCCCAGAACACTCAACAAAATATGTAACTAATTTTTGCCCCAAGCTTTGCTTGCATGAATTTCGGTCTGACACAGAAATATTCTATCGTTCGCGTCCCCCTTTAAAAACAGGAATAAAAACTAGCTCGTTTTCCCTGGGTCTTAAACTATGTACAAAATTTCATCAAAATCAGTTCAGTAGCTTTTGTTTTTTTGTATAGTATAGTAGGTATAATAATGAGTATTGCATTGCATAGTGTTAGAGAGAGAAACAGAAATCCATCATAAAGGATAGTACATGTATGTAGGATTCTACTGCTAGGTATTGCAAATTAATATTTCCCGGCTGCAGCGCGATGGCTCTGAAACGCGACTAGACTATGAGTATTGAGTAGGTACCTACTTTGTTGTATTTCTTTCTTACAAAAGAAATACATACTTTTCTCAACAAATAGAAAAAATTAACATAGCTGATCTTGCAAAAAAATTGCCCACCTTATTGCCTTACTAAAATACAAGTTTACATGATTCTATTAGGTACATCTACGTACAAAATTTGTATATTATCAGAGATTGTGAATTTCTGAAACCAACATTTGAATGAATTCTGATTCTAATTTAAACAAAGTGTGTTTTTTATAAAGGAATACTACTTTCAAATTAAATTAAATACGTAAAAATATATTTTATTGACATGGTATTAGTTATATTTGAAAGGTATTGGTTTTATTAACCTTTAACTATAGTCGTGAAAAAATAATCACACTCCCATGGACGTCGGGTCTCACAGACCCCTATCTAAAATTCTTCATAATTTCATATTTGAACCAATTTGAATTTATCAAAGAGTTGATATATATCTAATAACTATTAATAAAGGATCTAGTAGTAAATGTAATCAATTTTCAATCATTATTTAATTATTTCTTGGCAAATTTAAAAAACATAGACATTTTTCAGTGTTAATTGACTTGGCATCACATAAAGGCTCCTCAATTACTGTCGATGAATAATAAATCAAACTAATATTTTTTTCCTTGTTAATTAATAACCGTGTAACATAAAAACATAAACAGAATTTCTGAAAGACATAATATAAAAATTTTGACAAGGGTTAAACTTACTAAAATTATAAACAGTGGCCTAGAACACTAAAGATAAATTATCTCTACAGGCATGTATCATCTTACTTTGAGAGCTTTGATAGGCAAAATATACACCATTCAGAATCGGAATCTGCAGCAATGGTACCTTCTAAGACATCTAAACTCAAAAGAAGGATCGTCTACAAGTAAAACCTTACTTCTGGAATGTTTCTTAGATAGTTGGGCTAATAATATAGCTGATGTACTCAGATACTTTCTACCATTATGTATTCTTAAACTAAAACAATTTACAACATAATATTATAATGATTTACTATAAAAATATTATAGTTGACAAGTCACATCCATACAAGTATGTTTGTATGAAAATTATAGTCATCGGGTCTCCCAGACCCGGATAAAATTTTGGGTGGTTATTACTCACGTAATAATTGCCGGAAGACGCGATTTTATGCCTCCTCGGTCCAAACACAGTTAAAACTGAAGCTACTGAGATGGTCAAGAGCAGCACGTGGCGGGAAGGTATTTAAACCGAGAAATTGAAAAGTGGGGTGGGCCTCTGAGACCCGACGTCCATAGTTAAAGGTTAAAGATATGATTTCGGGCCTAAGGGTGCCACGGTTGGCTAAAATGTAGTGTAACCATGATGTCCAATTTTCAACCACATTTTCGAGCAACTGGGACCAGGGTACATTTAGCATATAATTTTCCCCGGCAGTAGTTACTTATTAATATCATGGGAAAATATACCTTTTCTTCCCTATTCCAAGTATGGCATTATTGATTTTTACGTTTTGGATCGTTTAAAAAGCTAAAATGATTTGTATTGATTATTATATGGCTGTATTCATGTAGTTATAACAAAAAAAAAATTGGCCTTTCTCGACTTTTCTATAGCACTGTGACATCAGCTAATTTATAAAAGGTTATAATAAGAATTTACATAAATTTAAAATAAATAGATTCATGCAATTTCAATGTTGATTCAAAAGGCAACGTTGAATATTTATCAGTGTTATATTTTGTAGAAACTGTTTTAAGAGCTTTATCTTGTTATTTTAAAACTTGATAATTATTACATATTATAAACAATATGTCTGCCTCTGTGTGATGTCACAAATATCACTCATAACCAGTGTGAGTGCGAGAGAAAATGTGTTACGCACTGATTTATTATTACACCAAATAAATGAATTATTTCTATGAAAGATAATACACAGGTTATAATGAGATAAAATACAATTCTTTTATATACAGGCATGCATAATCTACCAACTTACCTCCATGAGAGCGCCCATGATGTCCGTGTTTCTTACTGTGACCATGACTTCTTGATGAGTGATGTGATGACCCAGACCGCTCACTACGATGATGTTTGGAACGTTTCTTCACTGGAGGGGGGCTGGGCGGGACTGGAGCGGCTAAATTATAAAATAGCGGGAAGTGAGTACATACGTCGCCAGGAAATCAGATGCGTAGTAAGATGTTAATGATGACTGATGGATACGTAACCTGGTTGGGCTTCTCGGGATGATATCTGCATCACGAGTGCTAGCTGTTGTCTCTCGGACATAGGAGCTAGGACTTGGATACGGGATGAGTCCCGCGAACGAGACGTCGACATCCTCCGGGCATACCAACGAGCCTACACACAAAAACTTAACTGAACACAAAAATAAACGCAAAACATCAACACAACAAGAGTGTCTGCGACTATTAGGCGCCAATTGTTAGCGACAATCTGTAAAATAAATTTTACCTTATTGTTTCCCGGGTTAAAAAGGAATGGTTACAAGTTCAACACAGCGCACTTGTATTTAGTGATTTAAGGACTGATAAATTATTGAGTGTTAATCATTTTCTGGTTTTTATTCCAGATTTTTTAAGAAATCAAGTGCGAAACTCACACAAAATTACCACAAACAGACAGTTGTTTTTTTAACTCTTTTAGGCTTTGACCTTGGCTGTCGTACATATCTATATGAGTCCAACAAGAATCATTGGGTTAGATTTAATGTAAATAAAATATGTTAAATTCTCTTCGTACCTTTTTATTTAGTGTGTTTTAAGGTGAGACATATTGGTTCTTTTTTACTTTTGTTTTACCGAATAATTGCTTTGTTTGATACCAAGCCGTACAAAAAAATTAAAAAGGTATGAGTACTGTCATCTGTCAATTCTGTCATCCATCTGCCAATGTCAAAATCATTGCAAAAAAACTTTGGTTTTCGTTCCTCGGATTTTCGATGCCCTCGAAAAAAAACCCGAAAGCTACTTACTACTATTAAATAACATTAATCATGTGGCGACCAACGTTTACGATATTAAGGAAGCTGGTAATTCCATCCTTGAAGGAAAATGTTACTATTTCAAAAATATTATATTCTACAAAAAGCCGACTGCCGAAGTCAACGATGAAGCTGACCTTAGTCAGTGCCAGTGTCGGTGTCCTTATCGGTGCTGGATACGGAGGTTATACTCATTATAAAATTAATGCAAAGAAGTCATCGTTGCCTGTAGAAACTGAGGAGTTTGCTTTTCTGAAACACGCACCGGAATACCACCCTCAGTACAAAGTAAGTACATAACCTGGTCAGAGGGTAACCTCTTATCTGATAAAATCACACAAACCTAGTCTGTATTTATAAGACAATTATATTTTTATTTTATTTTATTTTATAAAAGTCTAAAAGCGTGTTTTAATTGATTCATGTGAAAATTTTTATGTGCAACTTTTTGCTGAGCGATGCAGACCTATGCTGAAATATATAATAATATTATAAAGCTGAAGTTTCTTTGTTTGGTTGTATGCACTAATCTTAGGAACTACTGGTCAGATTAGAAAAAATATTTTTGTGTTGGGTAGCCCATTTATCGAGGCAGACCATTTGATGGCACACTTAAACATCAGTACAGTCAATAAGGGCAGAGCAGCAGAGAATTATATTCCAAAAACGGCAAATATTATGCAAATTTATGATAGAAAATAAATGTGATGTAAATTTCTTGGCTTGGCCATTTCATGTACACTTGCACTGCGAACTTAATGATAAATACTTACTGGAGTAAAAACTATTGCACAGAACTTTTAAAGCAACATTGTTGTATTCTGATAAACTCTTTAACTTGTTGGCTATTAATAATTTAATTTTTATTATCTCATTTTGCTCTTACATCATAGGTTAAATAGGTACTTACCTACATAGATTCCATCTTATAATAAATTTTAAGCACTTGAGCCTGTCTATAAAAGAAAAACGTTTCATTTGTGCTGATGCGTTGATTATTATAAATGCAAAGCAGAGACAGCGGACAGCGAACTTAGTATTATTAATAATTATAACAAATGGTTTTATTTAAAAGTGTAAAATATTATGTCATGTCATGCATGAAACATCATTATGGGGGAAGTATTGTATTAAACAATAAAATATTGATCTACTATTTAAAAGTATTCATATAAGCATTGTTGGTTGCTTTTTGCGAAGGATACTTGCATGTATTGGATATCTATTCACAATTTGTGCATTGATGTTTCTTATAAGATAAATAAAACTAATATGAAAAAATTATACCTCCAATTGATATAAGGCTAAGAGAGTCAGATAGGTTTAATAGGTCAGTAGATTTTAAATCAGGAATAATTCCTACAAAAGATTTTATTGCTTTAATGGCTTCATTGCCCATTAAGACTCTCCTAGGTTTTCGACTTTGACAGAGTTGTGCTTAAGTGGCGGGGCCCCCGAAAGGGGCGTTTTTTCGGTTTTCCGGTTATACTGCGTAAAGGACTTACCCTATCGTAAAGTGGTCATCATGACGGTTGAAGGGCACAATTCTGCATTGAATAAGACCAAATTCATATGTTTCGGACAAACCATTCTCGTGCTTATTTTCGACAAAGTAGATAATGTGTGTATAATTAATAACCATCTCTTCGTCCAATAGCTCGTCACCCGCAGGCTCCCAAGCCTTGTAAAGGGCCGCCTAAACCAGCGTATCCCTGTCAAGGCTCGCGAGTTGGATTCGCTTATCCTTGTTCGTCACAGCCAATCCTTCTGCGGTTGCTGCACCTCTTTCTTGCACTCTCCTGAACGACTCTATGTTATCTACTATGGCTGCCCCTCTTTCTTGTACCCTATGCCTATGGCTCCTACGTATAAAGGCGAAACTGCCGCTTACGCCTTTTTCCAATTATTTAAGCAATGATTTCACTTTGCTCTAATGTATAACGTCAGTAAGAAAAAAAATTTTTTTTCTGTTAAATCTATATATATAAAAATGAAACCCGTTTCGCGTTGTCACGGCATCACGTGTGAACGGCTGAACCTATTTCGATAATTCTTTTTTTTAAATGTTTGTGGAAGTCCAAGGATGGTTCTTACGGAAAAAAATATTAAGAAAATCTCTACGCTAAGGCGGTACGAAGTTCGCCGGGTCAGCTAGTACAAAATAAAATTTTAGGCAAATAGGCTTATGTGCAAAACTACGCCACGTATAAAGCCCAATCATACGATTCGTCCATCTATACGAGTAGTTGCTTACATAAATATATATTTTTTATAATCCAAATCTTAAATAAAGCCATGAAAATATTTAGCAAATTGTTTTATTTATAAATTATGACACATTATATACCTAGTTATTTAATTTTTAGCGTTAAGAGTCGCATCACAAACTAATTTGAAAATTATAAATAACTTGAAAACATCGAACTGCCTAAGGCATCGTGGGTTCAATTCCCGCCTTAGGCAGTTCCATTTTTTCAAGTTATTTATAATTTTTAAAAATATGACATTATGTTAAAAGACCTAACTAAATCTCGAGCACAGTATATGGGCGTATTTGCGTTAAAACGTAATAACGATACATTAAACAACTTTTTCCTACTGATTTATTATTGATATAGCACATGATAACAATTAAAATAATTACATGCATAAATAAAGAGAGTAATCGCTTAAAATATTATATTTACGTTGTCATTTAAGTCTTTTTACGTTGAACAATATTACATGAAATTATAGAAATATGACGACGTAAAAGGGCAATGCGTAAAATCTCAAAATATATAAGAAAAATATAAAAATTGATAACAGCAGTAGCAAAAGCATTACATGTTAAGTCTAAATGTGAAATTTCATAAAATTAGTTTTAGTAGGTCAGAAGATATGACCCAAAAATATGGTTCTGGCCACTTAAATGGCTCTCCTGTAAAATCTATATTTTTTCACTTACGCCAGTATACGCAGGAGCCATCGGCCTGATCCAAGGTTCGACGCCAAAAACCCCCACCATTTAAGCACAACTCTGTTGAAGTCGAAAACCTAGGGAGTCTTTATGGGCAACCAATGAAGCCATTAAATCAATAACATGTTTTGTAGGAATTATTTCCGATTTAATTGATTTTGTGTTTAATTCTACTGGCCTATAAGTAATTTGTTTAAGAGTTGTTCAGCTAGTTAATTTATTTATTTATTTATTCACAACAACAACACTTCACTGTCATCACAGGACATCCCACTGCGTCTGCGACAGCGAAGACAACACATCAACATACACAACGTCAAATACAAAACTAGTAATCACCTGCATACAAACCTACACATAACATATAACAAATAATGATGCCTTTGTAAAATCACTCAGAGTACAAGAAAAAATATATTAATATTTCAATTAAACAAAATCTATCCAATACACTTCTGAATTTAATGGAAAACTTTGATAAACTGACCACAACACATTTGTTTCTTGTTTTTAGATTATCAACGAGACAGATAACAGCAATCTCCATTTAATATTATTCCAATACCGCACATGTCCATTTTGCTGTAAAGTGCGTGCCTATTTAGACTCGAGGGGGATAAGTTATGAAATAGTTGAAGTCGATGCAGTTTTGCGGCAGGCCATCAAATGGTCAGGATACAAAAAAGTGCCAATAGTTCTTGCAAAAGTTGATGGCGGTTATCAGGTAATTATAATATTAATAATAGTACTTACTCTGAAGTATTCATCCTGTAAAGAATTGGCAGATTTCCCCATGACTTCAAATTTCTTATTCCTTTGTACTGATAGCACTAATATTCGCAATAATGTTTCAGCAACTGTTGGATAGTACTGCGATAATATCTGTGCTGGAGACCTATTTGCGGGACAAAGCGTCTCAGCTGCAAGAGATAATAAAGTTTTATCCTGCCACAAAGTATGTGAATGACGATGGGAAAAGTACAACCGAGATTGCCAATAAATATTTCGTTATGCACAATGCGGTCGTCCCAGACGAACGAGAAAGAGCGATTGAGATGTAAGTATAGACTTTATGTCAAACGTTGACTAACAATAGAAATCTGTATGCGGAATAATTGAATAAATGTAAAATGACGTCACGGGAGTTAAAATTTGCATTAAGTATTATTATCCGAAGCGAAGTTGGCTGCAAATGTTCAGAATTGCAATATCAAAGAAATGAATTACCCTTTATCATTGACATATAAGTCTGACCTTCATTGAATAGTGAACCCAATTATGCAATTTAAGTTCAACTTTAACGCTACATACATTATCAAACAGATCTTTAATGCTATACAATGAAGGAAACCGGCGCGATAAGTGCTCTTAAACAAATGATTCTGGGCTTTGATTAACTGGTCAGGTCTGCAGTGATTTAAAACTGTACAATATTTTATGGACACATTTATGCTGGTATAAATTTTTCCTACTGCAATTCCATATAACGAGGGTTTTATGGCGCAATGGCACGTTACTCTTGACCTAAATCCTTGGTTCGAGTCCTTGTCGGGACTCTTGACATCATGATTTCGAACATTTTCAGGGAGGAACGCGAATGGAGACAATGGGCAGATAAGGTTCTAGTGCACACCTTGTCTCCAAACGTGTACCGTACTGCTGGGGAGGCTCTGGAGACCTTCAAGTGGTTCGAGGAGGCCGGAGGGTGGAAGCAATCTTTCCCCAGCTGGGAGTGCGCGTTGATGGTCTACGGAGGGGCAGCTGCTATGTGGATCATAGCCAAACGGCTTAAGAAGAGGTACAGTATTAATTTTATACATGTTAAATTTTCTTATCGGTCGCCTGTTTGGTGTAGTGGTTCGAAAAGGACTGCTATTCCGGAGGTAGCGGGTTCGATTCCCGCACAGTACAAACATTTATGTGCATGAACATATTAGTTTGTATTGGACTGGGTGTTTTCTATGTATAATATGTATGTATTTACAAACAAAAAGAATTTTAGAGCCATTACACAAAAATATTCCGCGCGAATTTAGCTACAAACTGTCAACGCAACGACAAAAGAGTAAAAAGAACGCCGAAATGGACAAAATAATCTTGAGCCGTGACCGTATTAAGACTTGATATAAGTTATTAATTTTAAGGTAGAATAAGGTATTAAAACATGATAAATTAATTTAAAATTTTAATAGAGTTTATTTGGTCTTTTAAAGATTTTTATACTTATTTCGATTAATAATGAAACACGAATAGGTATAATATGTAAAATATATTATATTAAGTACAAAATAAAGACAGTCACATAGTGAAAAAAATCTGCCCCCTTGCAGCTATCATCCAGGTCCATCATCGGACCCTGGATATCATTTACCTAGACGAAGTATTCGTCAAGGCGAATTACACAAGCCCAAACTCCATAGGGTTCTATTGTTTTGTTATGGAGTTGCAATGGAGGTGGCCATTGCAACTCCTCCAGATCT